GTCAGAGGCTAGCCTGGGCTACACTGAGAGGTAATCGCTCCACCACAACAAAACTCAGAATGTGTGTTTCTGGCACTATTTGGGTATTTAAATAGTTCCCCTGTTCACATGTTTGAGAGAGAATTTATCTACATGGTAAAATTAAAAAAAAAAAACCCTCCCCACACAAACCCCAAGCCATCACAGACAAAAGCCCACAGTATGCTGTTTAGAACAAGTGTCTTTAAGTATACTCATCTAAAAATAACCTAAATACAGGTTATGTTACTTGAATAGTCCAGCCTCTGCCTGTGCTTTCGTTTTAGAAAACACGCTCACAGACTGCACAGTGGGCGGAGCTTCACTGGGTATACTCAGTGCAGAAAATGGCCACCAGGTTGGGCCTGCACACTACAAAGCAGGGCACCTTCTGGGGACACTCTCCCTTCTGACAGAGAACCATTTTTTCCCACCAAAACTGGATTTGTTTGCTGAATACCCTGGTAAGTAATCACCAGAGCTTTTACTATCTCCCGAGCAAGGGGGCCTCATGGGGAAAAACACATTATTTTTAATGCACGATGGTTGTTAGGATTAAAAGAAAGACTTCTATTTATAAAAGAAAACCATGTTGACAGGTATTTCTTGAAGAGAAGTCCAAAGCATTTTGCCAGAAATTAATAAACAGAAAAAAGTCATAAAACAAACAAAAAGTCTTTTAATTGGTTTCCTGGTAAAATGTAAAAACAAAAGAAAAAACAAAAAGACAAACGCTGAGAAATTAAATAGACACCAAAGCAGGATAAGAAGTCATTCAGAAGTATATTTCTATTTAGGAAAGGCTGTGTTCTTCCAGGTGATTGACAGTATATCTGTGCAAAAAGTCAACTCATAGTGAAGGGGGCTAAAGACTCCATAATCACTGGACCTTGGTAGGAAAAAAATGAAGGTCAGGGTTGTTTTCCTCACCCCAGTTAGCACAGGCCCGAAGGACAGCAGGGCACTAAGGCTCAGCCCTGGAACCACTCCACTCAGTCACCCACGTTAGCAGAGTGAGCCCTCTCCCTCATTTCCCATGAAAACAAAGGTGAGAGCCAGTTCTGCCAGAGGAAGGGGAGGTGTGATTCAACAAGCATGCAGAGGGTGTGACGGTGACACTTCCATCAAACAGACGTGTGATTCAGCACTAAGGCAGTGGAGAAAATGGCTATTTGAGTCATGTCAGGGACCACAGGACCAGAGGAAGATGGATGTTTAAGCAGAAAGCGTGGTGTATTTGTAAAAAAAAAAAGGAAATCCTCATTTATATTCAGGAACCAATCATAATACTGCTAGAGCTGATGAAAGGCTTCTGGGGTCACACAAACACACATGGCCAAGAAGGCTGCTGTGATTTTACTGCAGGGAGCTATGGAAGGTGGGGTGGTGCCATTCCCAATACCTGGCATGCGTGTGGAGGCCAGGGAGGGCACCAGAGCCCTAGAAATGGAGACACGGCCTATTGTGAGCTGCCATAAAGGTGTTGGGAACAAATCCTCTTTAAGAACAGCAAGTGCTTTTAACCACTACAGCCATCTCTTAAGATGGTCCTGGTAAAGCCTTGATCCATACTAAACTCCTGGTCACTTCAACACACACAGGATAGAACAGGGTAATGGTTGGAATAAATACATTAAAATGAAGCTGAGAGATAAGGCGTCTAGTGCAGCTTCATCTTAGCATAAATGTACATCTATGTGCTCAAGGTTGTAAGAGGAAGGGAATCACCATTTATCTGTTCCTGTAGCTACTGATCAAATTATCACTCAAAGTTTCAAAATAGACCAATATAAGCTTAGGATGGAAAAATTCAGCTTACCAGGACTTTGCTCACGTCACAAGCCTGGAAAACGGCCCAGCTGGTTCGAGAGACTGGATTTATCTGAGTCCAGTATCCTCATTCCAGTGTATTAAGCTCATATGCTCAGAAAAATAGACCCAGTATTTAATAGATATAAACTCAAAAGTAATGGAATTAAGTTACTTTTAGAAACTTTTTGCAACAACAGAAAGGTATTCTTTTTTTTTCATTCATTCTTTTAAGAAAGATTCTGATTTGTCTGCTGTTAACACTGATACAGTGTTAATACCACTGTCAAAACCACATTTAGCAGCCTGAATTTTAGCGGTAAGAAGTGTGTTTGGGAGTACGTGAAAGTCGGTGATTTATTCTCCATTTGTGCAAGCTAAAAACTTATGCAAATGAAGCCACTTAATATTCATTGTGCGTATCATATTACCTTGCAAAGGAAACTGCCCACAAACACATAATGCACCGCTTGTCAGTCTCGTGTTCTTGGGCCCATCCCTCCTATGCAGAGCCCAAGGAGAGCTTTGTTCCAGAAGCTGGAAACATGTTCCTCTGATGCTTTTTGCTCTCCTTACAGGGTTCTTTCTGGCTCCCCAGGTCATTTCTTTTCTTAAAAGGCTCAATACTCAACTACATTCTTCCTATACTCTAATGGGAAACCTCTTTATCTTTTTCTGTATAGCTCCTGATCTGGCCTTCCCCTTCCTAAGGGGTCCAGATGAAAGATGGCAGCTTCAGTGCTTTATGTTCAATGCCCCTAGGGTACAACTCATCACCTCCTTCTCAGGGTCCCCATGGTACCACGCTCTGGGAATGCTATGCCAGCATCAGGTACTTCTCCATCTAGGCAGCTGACTGCCATTTCTTCTCATTTGCCCACTTGCTAGCCCAAGTGAATCCTATCTACTCTGGGCCCACCCCCTTTCTTGGAGAACTGCAGCAGCCTTCTTCCTTGTTTCCTCCCCTCCCAACCTCCTCTAAGCTATGCACAAGGACAGGCTCCTAAGGTACAGCCATGACATTTCCTTGTTCAAAGAGCCTTAATGACACCATTGATTAACACATTCCAATTTCCTAGTTGGCATTCAAGACCATTATTGTTCAGCAACAAATATTCTCCAGTTCTATTTTGCTCTGGACACCTGTATAGACCAGTTCTAACTCAACTGGACTTGATACTTTTCATGGATTACACTCCCTGTTCTCTCAGTCTTCCTCTCTTCCAATTACCAGAAGATTTCTTTTTACATTTACTTCCTGGACACACACACACAAACACAGAAGAGGGACTGTGTGTGTGTGTGTGTGTGTGTGTGTGTTTGTGTATTTCTTGTTTGTCTTTTCAAGCTCTATTGACAGTCTCAGGGGGAACTGTCAGTTGTTTTTCAGGTGAATTCTCTAGTCCCTCTAGTGGGGTCATACTTATGGCAGCTACTTGATAAACATTTGCTGCCTAACATTTATAGAACTTCATAAAGTTCACAAAGCCCATGTGCAGATCCATGGTCTCATTTATTTTTATACAAGACTTATGTTGTAACAAGTGGCGGTCAGGTCCTGTACTCTGATTTCTAGCGCTTAATGCAGTTCCTGGGGCTGTGCCTTTCTATCCCATAAATCACACAAAAGTGTTTGTGTCTCTTCAATTGCTTTATTTTAGAATGCCCAAAGTTGTCTGGTCTACAAAGCCAAGAGATTATTTTGAATCAAAAACTTCTCTTGTCAAACTGCTTCCTCTCCTCCCCACTTATGGGTAAGGTACATAAATTTAAAAAGGTCTCCACTGCAAGTGACAGAAACTGAAAAATGGAAATTTTAAAGTTGGGTTTCATTTTGAAAACGAAAATGATCTAAGTCAATCTCCAGTGTCCTTACATTGATTACCAACAGCAAATCGCTGACAGTTGGACAAATAATTCCTTGCTAAAAGACTAGACATGACTAATATAATTCTAAAAGTGTAAAAATCTCTGAATACCCAAGAATCTCAGAGGTTCAATACAATAATAAATGAATTCAGAGGCCTTATGATTGTGTATCAACTGAAAGTATACGTCTAATAGATGTTAAAAGTGGAAAAGAATTAAAATTCAAATTGAAAAGCAAGACCTTTGAAACGTCAGTGACTGTGATCTGTCCTTGTGACAGATGGCACTGTGTAGCTGCCGGAGCGGCAGTTAGAGAGAGCCATGACTGTGGGCTTGCCCACCAACTCTACTTCTTTTGACTTCAGGTAGAATTTAGACTACAGGCTTCTGGAGGACAGGTATTTAACTGTGAACTTTGTGGCTCCAGCAAAGCACTGTGAAAGACTGTACCTAGGTAAAGGAAGAGCCGGCTGCAAAGCCTTCCACGACCTGCCATGTTTTTTGTTTGTTTGTTTTTTGTTTTTTTGTTTTTTTTTTTTAAGATTTACTTATTTTATTTATATGAGTACACTCTAGCTGTCTTCAGACACACCAGAAAAGGGCATCAGATCCCATTACAGATGGTTATGAGCCACCATGTGGTTGTTGGGAATTGAACTCAGAACCTCTGGAAGAGCACTTAGTGCTCTTAACCTCTGAGCCATCTCTCTAGCCCCTAGAGGTGTAAATTATTAACACACTGCCTGGCTCATAAAGACACACAATCATTTGACAAATGGTAGCTGTTTCTCTCACTGCCTAGGACTTCGTAACCACCTACAAGGCAGAACTTCGTGTGCTGGGCTGTCAAGATATCTACATGAGAACCACAAGTGTCTCTTCATGCTTGCATACTCTACAGCTAACAGAGAGCTCACTCTACAGCAAGTGGAGAGGCTAGTGGCATATCTGCCCTGACCTCAACCCACTGAGTACCAACAAAAACTCAGTTAAACACTCTGGACTTCCATCTTGTTTTGGGGTCCTTATGACTTGAGGAAGCCACAGATCTATCAAGACACACACAAAAGTTCTCTTTACATCTACCAGCGGAACTAACACGAGAAGCTCTGTTTGCTAGTTCTCCCTCAGCACAGAGGCCTGGCTCATGTGTCCTTAATAACAAGACTGCTTGACAGTCGTGGAAATTTTGTAGTACACAAACCTGGCAGGTCGAGCTCATGATTCAGACACCTTGAGGAGTCTTTCAGAAACCACCCTTTCTTATTTCACACAGACTAAGGAAAGACATACACCTCAGTTACCTCATTTAGAACACGCCAGCCTTAACTGAGTTAGTTTCTGTGCTTTGGCAGAAATCACTTGGAAATCCTTGGTTCTGAGCCCTCCATGTCTTCCACATCAAGATCTAAGAAAAGATGAAAGCACAGCAATTCAGGACTAGTGTCTAGAATTCAGGATTTCAGCCACAAGAGCCATTGTGGTTAGTATACGTGAGGTGCCTTTGGTACATCAGGAACTGCACTAAGTGCTCTCAGTGGATGGGTAAATCTCTAACACCCCTCAGCTGTAGGGAGCAGTTCTCCATTTTACAGTTACAAACACTGTGGAACCTGTTGTTGGAGGTCACGCTGGGTGAGTGTTGGGACTCCAACCCAGGTTAACTTCAGCACAAACCCAAACTGATTTAAGTGCAAAATCTGCAACACAGAACACTAAATTAGATTCTTAAAGGCTTTTTTGACAGTGACCCATTTTATTACAAATTATATAAGCCAACGGCTTCATTAAACTATGCTTATCTGCACTGTGTGCAACGGTTACTTTTTCTAGTCTTTTCTATCGTACTATATATTCTAATTTTTAAAAAAAAAATTTCAGCAATGACCCATCAAAGGAATTCTACTAATGCGTGTTTGGTCTTGGAAAAACACTGGTAAAAGGCCTATGATCCTAACAGTCAGCCGACCGCGGCAAGTTGCAAGTTCGAAACCAGCCTGGGCTAACATAGTGAACGTTCTAGGCTCCTTAGCCAGACCTTGTTACCAAACACAGACTCTGCGCTTTGATCTTAGCTACAGTAAGACGCTATAAGTTTCTCTGAAACCACAACAAAACTATTCTTTCCAGCCGCGCCAACCAGAGCAAGCACTTGAGCTTCCCAATTAGGAGAATGGCCTTTAACCTTTCAAATAATGCATACGCTACATAAACGCTTATCATTTAGAACAGATCATTACATGGGGTTTTCAATCAGGCCCAACATCCAGAATGGGAATCAGGCACTTACCCACCGCAAAGCAGAAGTTATAAAGTGGAAGCGCAGATAGATTAAAAATCTCAGGTTATTTATCAGCTAACCTGCAAAGAAGTGTCTAAAGGCTGACTGTTGAATTGTCCCAACAGACAGACGGCTGCAGTAGGAGCAGGAGGCCGAGGCTGCAACCCCTAGGGGCAGGGCCCTGCCTTTGAACGTCCGGTTCAATTCCAGGGGCTTGGTGTCGCACTAGGATCTCATCGCGCTCCGGTAGGGTCAGGAAGCAGCCCTGGTTTGCGCTTCAGGGGAGGGGAGGTGCGACAGTCCCGAGCCCCAGGTGCGCGTCACTCCCCGCTGCCCCCCTGCAGCCGAGCCTGGTGGGGCGGGACGCGGGCACCTGCGGACGCTGGCTGCTCCGTACGCTCCGCTCCGCGTTCGCTGCAGCCCGGCGCGAGCGCTGCCCACCGGCTCCCGCCTCCCCACCCCTACGCCCCGGAGACGCGCGGGCCCCGGCGCACTTACGGGGCTCCGCTCCGCCGCCCGCGCGCTTCCCGCGGGGTCCATGGCGCTTCCGGACCTGCGAGTCTGGCCGCAGCGCCGCCCAGAAAATGGACGCCGGCGGCTGGGCCCGGACGCCCCAGTCCGCCCCCGGTGCAGTGCAGGCCCGACGGCCGCTCGACCTCCGGCGCCGACGCGCAGGCCTCAGGGGCGCTGCGGGCCGTGAGGCTTCAGCACCCCGGCGCCACTGCCGCAGAGCCAGGCTCGCACAGGGCTGAGTGGCCAGAGAACAGGCCCTGGGCACCCAGAGCGGGCCTCGCGCACCAAATTCTGAGAACAGGGTGTCACCTGTGCTTTCCCATGGCTGTCAGGGGACGCCTGGATTATTTCCCACCATGGTGTAAGAACTGTCTCATGCAATAAAATAAAATAAAATAAAATAAAATAAAATAAAAATAACAGCCACCGACTGCCCGCTGGCATCCTTCCTACACAGAGTCGCAGTGTGGCACCTACTGCCTCATGCACACCTAAGTGCAGGTGTTTGTTTTGAAAAATCAAGCATTAAGTCTTCAGTTTTTCTCCCCTTTGGAAAAAGACCTGCTTGGGTTTTGAAAAGGATATTTTCCTGGAATACAGTGTTTGCCATTTATTCACCCCAGTTCCTGACCAAGTATTAAGAATATGATCATTTTGGTGAGTTGAGTATGCAAAGTAAAGGCCCTTAAATGATGCAGGAAGAATGGTGTCATTTAAAAATGCAGAGTTGTGAAGGCTGACGGGTTGGGTAACGTGCATACACATGTATGGAGCAGTTCCCGACCTTCTCAATGCCAAACACCCTTTTATTCTCTCGCTCCATAGGCCAGTGTTCACAGATTAACTCCACTAAACTGCATTTATTAAGTAATGATTCATCTTCCCCTTAAAAAAAAAAGGAGCTTGAAATGTCTTTGTCTATACATAACTGCCAATGAGGACTTCCACAAAACCTGAGCTGACTTGTTGGCATTGGTAGATACCAGCCTTAAAAATCAAAACTGAAGAAACTCATGGTCTAATTGCATGTTTGTATGTTTCCATTGTGGCTTTTAGAAACTCCGAAAATGATTTTAAAACCTGTGCACATAGATTGGGAAGTCTGTAAGCTTATTGCTGTTGTCGATTCCCTGGGACAGGTGGGAGGTGGCAGGCAAGGCTGGTTGGCCTTTTAGATTCAGCAGGCCTGTGTTGACAGCCTAGGTTTGTTGCTCTATAAGGCCACTTCTCTGACCTTCAGCTGTGGTATCTAACATTCGATATGTTTTAGTGTTAATGTCTACCTCCTAGGTGGTTTTCAAGTTGAATTAAATAATACATGTGAAACATTTACAGTAGCACCTGACATTGTAAGTGCTCTATAATTTCAAACAGGTGTTAGTATTGAAGGTTAACTATTCTGAGTTAGGGCTTCTGTTGTTTATAGTGGTTTTCCATGGGTGATCTGCTAGGGTCACTTGGGACCTATGACCTAAGTCTGACTCCAGGGTGTTCCGGGAGGTGTCTTGATCAGATCCTGTCAACAGCGTGTGGCTAGTGAAATTTGGCTCTGGCTTTGAGTCTTAGCATGTGAATGGTTCCTCACCTCTAATAAGCCATTTACCAACAGTTGGTTTTTTTTCTTATTGGAGCCAAATATTTCTCCAGAAGCAAGCATATTTCCTCACATTGTTTAAATAACTAAACTATCACAGCAATAGCTTGAAACTTATGTAATAAGCCAGTCCTTCAAAAATTTCCATCCTTCTTCATAACCAGAGTCTCTCAATCATCCTTCTGAGTATGGGGGGAACTATCTGGAAATTTCCGGAAACATCCCACCTTATCATAAGTATGCTCTTTTCTGTAAAGGTTTCCTTTATAACTTTATTTTCCGAAATAACTACATGTGGTGTTTTCTTTGTCATAATTTCCATTTTGATGCATTTAAAAAGGAAAAAAGAGAATCGAAGACTTTGTCTTCTTAATTGTTTGTCCGCTCCTCTCTCTGCCACAGCTCCTAGGCCTTGCCCAGGAAGCTGTGTTTGTTTTCTGTCTCATTTTAATTCCCACAAAGTTTGTTATATTGCATGTGTTTGCTTTCTGATTGAGAATATGTGGCAGTTTAACACTGACTGTTCCCCTTTCTTTATAGGACTCCAATATAGCTTCTAAAAAGACTAAAACATTGCCTTTTGAAGCCCACACAAGGTGTTCTCCACAAGGGAGCAAGATCTAAGAGAAAGTGTGTGGAGTTCAGGAAACTCAGTGTCATATGGGATGGACTGTGTGATACTTACTTGGAGGTGTGCTTGTTTAATAACCTATGGACACGTTCATATGTTGCCTATGAGAAGTGATAGCATGTGGCACTCAGGTTTGGTCCTGAAGCTATACATAGTTTCAATAATCTACAGTTTAAAGCCTTTAAATATATATATATACATATATATATATATGTATATATATATATTTTTTTTCAAGCTTCCAGAAGAACTAAGAGAATGATGATGGGCCTTTCCCTCTTTCCCTCCCTCCCTCCCTCCCTCCCTTTCTCCTTCCCTATATCCCTCCCTCCTGAACCTTTGAAGGCTGCAGACATTATTCTTTTAGCCCTATGTAGTTCAGCATTTCTTTTCTAAGACACTTTTTCTTCTTTAGAATCTGTCTATTATAGAGAACTGTGCTCAAGAATCAGAGATAAAAAAAAAAATTGAGGTATGAATACCAGGCTTAGTGTTGCAGGCCTTTAATTTCAGGACTTTGGAGGCAAAGGCAGGCAAATCTCTGTGAGTTTGAAGCCAGGCTGATCTACAGAGTGCGTTCCAGGGCAGCCTGAGCTGTAGAGTGGTGAGACCCTGTCCAGAAAATAGCAGCAACAACAAGAGGTGTGGGGTTGCCTTTGAAATAACAGGAACTGGCATGAAGGAAGGGGAACATGTGTGAGGCCTGTGTGCTTCTACATATATTCAAGACTTTCATAGTAAAGTTTGAAAAGGTTATGTTTATGAAGGATTTTCAAATGGTATAAAGTATTTGTGCTGTGATATCAGTTAGGAAAATATACAATGTGCCTACACACATTAAATTGTAGTAAAATGTTTACTGTGTGTAGATAAAAGATTAAGACGATTGCCATAAAACATTAAGGTTCTAGCTATTTCACTGTAGGCATATCTTAGCTTTCTAAGAAAAAGTAATAAAATTAGAAGACAACATTAAATAGAAAATATTTCCTGAAATTGGGGCCAGTGGAATGGCTCTGTGGGTAAAGATGTACACTGCCAAGCCTGACGATCTAAGTTAGGTCCCCAGACCCTTACAACTTACCCTCTGATCTCCACGTGTGCCACACACACACACAGGCACACGCATGCACACACACAGTTTTTAAAAAGTATTATTAGAAATTAAACAAAACATATTGACTCAATCTGGCCAATTGGTCCCCAGAACAGATCGTAATTTACAAAATAGAATCATCATCTATGCCTGTAATCCCAGCACTCGGGAAACTAAGGCAGGAGGACCATGATTTTAAATCCAGCCTGGGTTACTAAGGGAGATCCTGTTTTAATAAAAGGAGGAAGGAGGGAAGGAAGAAAGGAAGGAAAGGAAAGGAAGGATGGATGGATCTTCAAATATGAATCTAACCTGTGACCTACTTTTATATGGCCTAAGAATAGCTTTATATTTTTTAAGCTTAAAAATATTCTTAGAATTTATGTGTATTCATGTTATGCATCCGTGTTGGGGTATGTACACACAGCACAGGTGCCTGCCTGCGGAAGCCTCTGAAACTAGAGCTGAAGACCGCTGTGAGCACAGTGGGCTCTGAGAACCCAGCTTGGGTCCTTTGCAAAAGTATTGTTTGCTCTCAATCAACTGACCGTCTCTCCAGCCCAAGTTCTATATTTTTAAGTGATTGGGTGGAGTGTTAAGAACATTACATGATGAGAAATCATATGAAATTCAAATGCCATTGCCTATAATGGCATAGAGACATAATTATAGCTATTGTAGTTATCATAGTTAATATTGCATTTTATATTTTCTTTCATTGATACAAAATTTGTGGAAATCTACTTTTTTCTTTGTTACATAAACACCTGTGTAATAGCCTCAGCTTTGCTTCAACTCACTGTTTTTGTTGTTTTGTTTTTTGAGACAGGGGCTCTATAACCCTACTAGCCTGGAACTCACTATGTAGACTAGACTAGCCTTGAACTTTCAGAGCTCTGTCTTCATCTTCCTCTGGAGTGCTGGCATTAAAGGTGTATAGCACCATGCCCAGCTTAAATAAAATTTCCGGGTCACTTCTGATACAGAGTTCCTCATGGATCCCAATAGGTGAACCAAAATGGAATCACTCTCACTAAAGCCCCAAATACTAAACTGGAATTAGGTTGGTGTTTGACCTTCTGAGAAAACAGTAGATAATCTTGAAGTAGGCCAGCTCTGGCGGCCAGATAAGGAAATCCCTCTGCTTTAACCCTCATAAGGGAAGATACCTGAAGAAGCCCAGTCTGAACCTCTATGTTCTCAACTCAAGCTGCCTTACACAATTTGGCTCTTCTTCCAGGCCCAAAGCGGCACATGGTTTTTATAGATCTGCCTGACTCACAGATCTTTAGTGAACACCAGCAAAGTCATTGCCATCTTTAAAGTTAATTTGTTGAAGTTTTATTTCTTTAGTTTGGCATTGCTGGAGACTGAACCCAAGGCCTTATGTATGCTAGGCAAACACTCTACCCCATATTCCTAGTAAATTTTTTTATTTTGTATTAAAAGAAAAAAAAAGCCTCAG